AAAGTACAAAGAGCAAAACTATAATCTTATACATGACATTAATGCAAGAACAAAGTCTAATATTGCCTTAAAGACATCGTTTAACAATGTTAAATCTGAGAAGCATGGCCGTATATACATGTTATCAGTGTTTGTGATATGGTGTAATGTTGAAGCCCTAACAAATTGCGCTTCAAAATAATCATGAAGTGCCTCAAAAAAGTAAAAATCTTTGAGTGACCGGTTTTACCATACTCGCCCCCCCCCCTAATAGACTGTAGTGTTATAAAAACCATTAGGAAAACGAAAAATGAAATTTCGATTTCCAATCATAAATATCTTGATTAATCAGACAGGCGATCGGCTTGTAAAAGTTGCAGCATGAGCTAAATCCAGGATTTAGTTTCAGAATCTGAGGCAATGTTACCGAGTCACTTTAACATTGCTTGTGTGTCGATATAGCCAATACGTACTTGAATTATGGTACAAAACACATTCATTCTCTTAATCTCATCAAAATTACAAATGTATGTTATAGAATAATGATAAATGATATCTGTCAAATTATCAGAAAATTAAAAATAGCTGAGTGCTGAACAAATTAAGATAAGGAAACAATATAGTGGTAGGGTGTGTGAGCCGGGGTATCACATCATTCTTCTTTTCATCTGTGAGTATTAAACGTGAAAGAGTAGCCTGAAACACATGCAAAGTCACTTCTATTTAGTGACCACCTCAAATATGATCGAATATTCTGTGCATGAAAAATGATGTATGATCTAGCATGTAATCTTATAACTGGATGGAATTAAAGTTATATCATGACAACGAATAGAAAGCTGTTAAATCATCCAAAATTTTACCCTTGATCTTGAACATGATCTTGAATTACCTTTAACGTCCAACCTGCAGGTGGCATCATCGTCATCATACGGGAGTGTAGGATATCCTGTAGGTCTCCCCGGTCGGTCAGATCACTTGGTACATTAGTAAAGGTCTATAAATCAGTGCATGCGTGGACGTCAGACTATGCTATTACAAAGTGTTTGTCTGACCTAAAAGAATCCAAGCTGTGTTTAAATGAATCTACCCTCGCAATTTTTACAATATGTTCAATCTACAGCATAATAGGCCTATCTCTTTATTACCCCCCCCCATGCCCCCACAAGGTCAAAACCAAATGCTCTATACTCATGTCCATAAAAGAAACTATATTATCGTACAGTGACCCTACCACTACCCCCCCCCCCCCCCCCCCCGCGCTTATTCACCGGCTGGCTATTTCGCCGCCAAATATTCTCTCACGAATTGGGCCCCTCTTTGGACCCCTCCCCTGCCGCCGGCTGGATCCGCCACTGCACTGTCACCCATCTCCCTTTAAATATCGCCCCTGTAACATTACAACCCATTCAAGGCACATGGATGATATTGATAAAAGAGAAGGTTGAGTTCTGGTGAAGATGATAAATAATTTGTGCGGTTTTTCACTCTTTGTACGTCAGTTTGGAAGAACATTATATTAAAATAGCGTCCCGAAGACGAGTGCTCTTCAATTGCCCTCATATTGAAAATATGATGAGAAGCAACTGAGAAGTTTGGACAAAAGCATTATGTGTAGTCCCATACATCCATTCTTGTGTGCTTGAGATTTTCAGCAAGACCGAGCCGATTACTTATCATTTTGATAATTTCCAAAACCTCACAAAATACATTATGTACTACATAATCAACCTTTCCCGAATGTTTCCAGACAGTTTGTGACCAGCTCTCTTGATCTTTATCTTTAAGAACATTTGATCTTGAATCTCTCTCGGGAGGATTCTAGATCATTCAACAGCACCAAGTCATCGTCATCCTATCATGCCTATACTATCTCTGTCATGTTCTTGAGAAGAAGGGGTGGTGGTGAACAAGACACTAGGCGGGAGATCGGTAGTAGCTCAGCGGTTCAAGCAACGGTCATGGATACAGGAGATCCCAGGTTCAAGGACCTTATATTGAGAAAGAAACCATCAATCACCTGATACCCTTTTCACCCCTGGCTCTCCCCTTTTCTCCCCCTTTTCTCCCCCTCTCCCCCTCTCACTCCCTGCTCCCCCCTCTCTCTCTCTATCTATTTCTCTCACTCACTCACTATCTCTTTTTCGTTTCCCCGCGCTATCCTTTTTCAAATTCTTAAAATCTTCTTCTCCTCTCTCACTTTCCTGGCATAGGCTTGCTGGCCCAAGTTTAGTCAGGGCATTAACGTATCTTACCCGATTACAGTGCATATTTAAATCTAGATGTGAAAATGCAAAGTTACCGCATCACATTCTGAATTATTACATGGCTGTTGTCAAAATATTTGTAATTACATTTTCGAGGGGGATGGAGCCCCTCTCAGCCCCACTTCCCCGCCTCGCACGCCCATGTTCCGATATAATCCAGTGCAGAATTTCGATAACGTATATACGAGTCAGTCAATGGGAAACTCGCCACTTGGTATTTTGTCAAGCAAAGTTCACGGGTTTCTGCAAACATGTTTTTATGAGGTCGCGATTGTACTATGACTCACGTAGATAAGGTAAATCATTAAACAAGTATGAGAGATAATAATTTAACATAGTAAAACAATTTAATATAAAAGCCATGGTTTATCTGATAACGCTTTTGCGGCATCTATAACATGACTTGTATTATAAAAGGAAAAAGAAAGAATGAAACTTTCGATTCCAAAGTCCGTTGTTTTAAAGGGATATTTGAGTTCTGTTTTCAGACCTCAAATGTCTTCTAAGTGCATGGTTATTTTGCATTTTTTCTTATCTATACCATTTCTAGTGCCCTTTTAGAACCTAAAATTGCTATGAAGGTAATTTTAGACCCCAATATGTGTGAAAATTAGTCAATACACGATCATACCAATTCAGCTCCACTTTAAAAAAAAAATGCGTTGACCGTTAATTAATTATTTAATTAAAAATAACAATACATGGGCCGGCTGGATGTGCGTATAAATATAACCAACACGAAAATACCAACAAAAAAGGCCAACATCGACATTGGCTGAAATACGACGTAAAAAGGCGCTATTTCTTTTTTTCAACGGCTTTTTCAAATTATCACAGAAAAAAACTAAACTGAGAATTATCGATGTTTTATCATAACTTAATCACAAATATGATCAATAAATGACGCATATTTGTAAAACTTGGATCCTCCTCTTTATTTTGGTGCAACTCATATGATGCATATTTCACGCAGGAGTGATTAGAAATAATTGGAAGAACGGGTGCCAAAAAGGCTTTTGGCAAATGGTATCTGAATTCCAAAGAGGAAATCACAATTCCAGAAAGTTCATTTTCTGCCTTTTCATATGACACCTCAATCAGGAAAAATGAGCCAGAAATAACAAAGTTATGTTTGTTTAAAGAAATGCTTGCATTTCCATAATGTTGCAAATTCGTTTTTACTGGAAGCTGCCGTAGCAAGAAACAACAAACTCCATTTCGTTGGCGATCAGCCATGCATGAACTCGTTCATCTTCTTTGTTGTTAGTGGAACGGATTCGTTTAATAAAATTATGGAAATGCAAGCATTACTTTAAAGCTTATCTGCCATAGTTTACAGGAGGGATTAGACTGCCCTGCAAGGTCACTGGACAGGTGGTTATCTCATCAACTCAGCTCTCAGTTAACATAAGAAAAAGAGCATTATGGGGACCAATGGTCACCGATTAGGCATTGTTTGTTATATAGAGGGCGCAAGTAGTTACAAGTAGTGCAGTGGGCCTTTAAACAAACAGAACTTTGTTATTCCTGGCTCATTTTTCCTGATTGATGTGTCATATGAAAGGGCAGAAAACGAAATGTCTAGAAATGTGATTTTCTCTTTGAAATTCAAATACAATCCGCCAAATTACTTGTTGGCACCTTTCTTCAAATTGCTTTTAATCATTCATGAGTGAAATGTGCATCATAATGAGTTGTATCAAATAAAAGAGGAGAATCTAAGCTTTACCAATATTTTGTGTGCACATTGCAAATATCATTCCCCCAGCGTTGTACCAATTTCATACATTCTGTTGAGAGGAACAAAATATGAGTGTGCAAAACACCTCAGAATGAAAGCACCGAGCAATATTCGAACTCAGGACCTATCTTATCAGAGTCAAAGGCCTTCATGAATTTACGACAGTGCTCCTACCCGTCTAATCATAACATTAAACAAAGATCTGTATATTTCGCTTAGGCCTATATGGTGATAAAAACAAAACTTGAACTTTCCTTCATTTGATGAATCAGTAAATTCATTCAACCAAAGACTGCATGTGCTCCATAATTTCTTTTGAATGTTGATACAAACGCATGAACTTGAAGACTTTCAGGTAATAATCACATTTACAAGTTCATGTTATGAGTCTCATAGACACAACAATCTTCAAGAAATGGCGGATTGTAGGTCACCTGAGTTTAATATCGGGGTTGAGTGTAAGTCCTACTAAATACAAATTTGAAGGGGCAAAGAATAAGGGGGCACGTCCTTTCCGTCTGCCCCGCGCCCCCTGAACGTAAGCATCTTACACTAATTGTTTGCGATATTATTTTAACGCGTCACGTACGCCCATCGTCCTATCAGTTGACGTTGTTAGACCATTGATATGTTTCAGCCATATTTGAAGTGCGTGTGGCAGTAAACGATCTTAAAATATCAGCACCACCCCCCCCCCCCCCTCCGAAAATGGGAGTCTTTCGTCTTCTTTCATTGCCTACATGCTTAGTTTGCATTGTATATTTATATTTTATATTTTTACCGGCAACGATTTAACATTAGCCGAAAAAGGAAGATGCAAGAAGATGGGGATATGAAATTTTCGCCCTACCCCCCCCCCCCCCTCTCCAAGCCCCTGCCCCATAACCACCTTCATCCTCCCTCCTTAAACTAACCCCAACATCATTGTCTTTTATACGTGCGCGCGCACGACGACACTCTCCGATTCTACAGTGCGCGCGTGCGTATACCACTGCCGCCATAGCAGACGACGATACTCAGACATGTTCATCTATCGTTTGCTTCCAACGACCGAACATCTCCTGTTGCAGTGCGGTGATATAATACCTCACTACTGTTTTCATCCACTCTTTTCTTCTGGAGCAGACAAACCCTCGTTAGAGGATTAACAATGCCTGGAAATAAACGACAGGTTATCGTGATTGGAGGGGGCATCAGCGGTAAGCGTATACCTTCGCAATTACTTGCTGATTAACGCCATCATGTTACGTAGGCTCTCTTATAGACCACATCACGTGGGTAATCATTAGGCAATGTCATTAGTTTATCATACGTTTTGAGGAATACTAATCTGTTCTATCTACTCGTGCACTCGTTTATTTTTATTGATGAATAGGCTGAAGTCTGTTTGACCGGTGATTCTTAATATCATAGGTCGATGTAGTTATGTAGGGCCTATCAATTATTATTTATGACACTTGGAAATAGAAAATGTTTAAAATGGCAGGTGCTGTGCACAGTCGTATTGTTGAGTTTTGAATATACTGTACCCTCCAATTTTATGACCTGTGTATCTGTTACAAGTGAAATCTGTAATCTACTATTCATACTTCACAAACATCACAATCTTTACAATTCTGCCTTTCCAAAATGATCATTATTTATCATACAATATCATACTTTAATACAACAAAACATGCATTCATATAAATCTGATGAAGCCTCCTTTTAATTTATTATAAACCGATTGACATTACCATGCCTGCAAACCACAATTTCATACAAGTTGTCACAATTCGGTTGATAAGACTCCACGGCGGCAAGAGAAACCTCAAATCTATAGCATCACCATTGCAATAATTGTTATTCGTCATAGCTGAAATCGAGTCAAAAAGTAAGGCAAATGCTAATTGAGATCATTTATAAGAATGCTATTACCCGAAAACGTGAAGTGTATTTCTACAATTATATTGATACCGTTGTATTGAGCGATTGCAACTTTCCATTGATGAATTTCATGATTTAAGAATGTTTTGTATTTAATAATTTCAATGTCACAGTTACTGTATGAATATACAGTATGTACTGCGCTTAAATACAAAGTATCACATTATTAAACACAGTTGTAGCAGCTGATCCGCCATGATGAGGTGCTAAAGCATTCAAGGAATTTCTTCTTTATACCGGGCACTCCTTTACTTCAGTCGGGTAGAGATAGACCATTAGACATCTCTATATCAGTATATGGATGTTAAATATTTCTGTCAGGTCTTCCTACGGCCGATTAAGACACAAGCAGAGGAATACTTCGGAAACCATACAACCTCCCGATCAAGAGACAGCAAGAGATCATGAGACAGTTTCATGGAGTAACAATCTAAGGTTTCACTAAATTAGATCAATTTATATCGCGCATTAACTACATCAAGATACCCTACTGCGCCGTGGTGACTCTTGGGACCCGTTTCACAAAGTCTTTTTTCAATGACAAATGACAAAAATCAGTGACAAATCTGCTGATAACCAATCAGAAGCAAGGATTTCAGTAGCTTATAACAAAAACTGTCATTTGTCACTAATGACAAGTTTTGTGAAACACCCCCAGACAGTGTTACTTTACAGACACACAATGCAATATATTCAAACGCTCCTGAAAGTAAGTGCGTCCTCAAAAAAAATTGAAGACAGCAACAGATGAGGCTTTTCTTTTGTCTAGTGTTAGGTTACTCCAAATCTTTGGAGCGGCGCAAGAGTTACTTTTGTTTTAGTGTGAGGTAGCTTTAGAAGCAGCTTTGCTACTTGTCTGGATGTTCCAACGATGAGAAACTCTGTTTTTTCACCATTAAAGATAAACTCCAGTTCTGGTAAAAAACAAAGAAAATTAATTCTCACAGAATCAAACGAAACTTACACTGAATGTTCAAGATTACAAATAAATGACATGTGCCAAACAATTTTGAAAGAAAATGTATACTGGCTGAGTAATGAGCATAGAAAGACAAGGAAATCAAGGTAGTACTAGCCCCGACACCATGTTTGTTGTCCAATATATAGCTTTCTGTGTACAGTGCTTGTTACTTTACCAAGACTCGGCCAAATTAATTATGATTTTGATGACTCAAGAACCTTGCAGTGTACACCAATACTTCCATGCTACATGATCAACTGTTTCTGATCCATTCCACACCTTTTCTTTCACAATGCAATCGCATTACCAGAATTGGAGTTTATCTTTAACCATTAGCTTAGGTTGGAACATCCAAGAACGGATATAACATATACATGATTCTAAAATTGATATGTTATCATCTTGATGTTCTTTATCAGGGCTGAAAGAAATGTATAACTGTGTGTCGTCGGCATAACATTGACAAGGAACATTTGGGAAACGCATTTGAATGATATTGATCAGATTTCTTGTATTGAGTGTAAAAAGGAGGGGACCGAGACGTGACCCTTGAGGAACCCCATATGAAACATGGACAGTCTTTGATATTACGTCATCTATTATAAGGTAAAAACACCGTCGCTGAACCCAAAAGAATGTAATTTATTAACAAATATTCCATGATCGATAGTTTTAAACGCGGTGCTTAGATCAAACAAGTAACAGCTTCAATTGTTGATTGTCCATTATAGAAGACTATTTTTTATTCTGACCAAGGCTGTTGGACTGACGAGATATGACCAAAATTGAGAATATGGCCGCCTATACTAACAGTGTTGCGATTTATATCTGCCATGTGTAAAGTGAGCCCATGCTTTGCAATCTTTACATGTACCTTTTGAAACCTCTTTGCTTTCACATCTTGGAAAAAATGTAAGTATATTTGTGATGCCTTTCATCCGGAGCTGAACGCAAACAAGTTTTTGAAATAACAAGCTTCTCATGTCGCAAACAGTTTGGGGCTCAAGAAGGGGGAAATGGTTCGGTAAGAGAAATTTTCTTTCTTAAAGACAGATACTCTTCGAATATGAATATACTTGTAATGCTTTGTATGGGAGTAGCTGAATATATAACGATTATTATCAAGAAGAAATACGCTAAACAAATTTGCATTTGTGATATGCCCCCCCCTCTCTCTCTCTCTCTCTCTCGTTTGACTTTGGCACCATCAAACAAACGTGTTTTAACCTGAGGTCAGAACCTTCACAAATACAGAGCAAACACCATCAAGCTACAAAACACCAGACCCAAATATTTGCTCTTTGTTTGGTAGTCTTACTTTTGTGAGAAGCAGCGGCTAATAGGTCATACTATTTTAGAGAAAACATTAGACAGATAAAACATTGTCTTGAATGGCATTATTTACACGAAACATCGGACACTGACTTTTCGTTTCTACACATTCTTATCGTGGTTATTTCTCCATTTCCTCCCCGCAACTCAACGCATGTTGCACACGGAGCATGATTTATTGACGTAGGCATGCGTCAGTGATTGGCGCGGTCTTTGACGCGCCATGTACAAGTGACGTCATAAACAAAATCAATGCAAAATTAAACAGTACAAGTGCCTTTTATTAGTGCATGCACCTATTGCCTCTACAATGGCCATTGCCCGCGATGCGTTATTTCAAATCGCCAATTACATGTTCAATGAAACAGAATTTCACGCTAGAGTAATTGAAAATTAATCATTTTATCAGGGTGACAAGAATCAGATATAAATACAAAGTTTGTTAATAAATCTTGATCTTGTAAACCTACAACAAGAAGGTGTACTTCAGTCGATGTAACAATCGAAACATAAACCGATATGAAACTGTTGTTGTGACAAAAATAAGCATTACACATTGGAAAATTGAAAAAATGAAATAAAGCTCATAACAAGCTTAAGAAAAAGTCTCGTCTTACAAATGCTAACATCAATGGATTGCCATTACATCAAAATAAGGGGCAAGGTCAAAGGTGAAAAGTTGCAAAGTGCACTGCTCTTGTTCAGCTGTGCATTCTACTTTCTTTGATAAAGTTTGAAGAGTGTAGAGGCTGCTGTGTTGTGTACTGTATAACAAGTCAATATCAGCGCTTTTCAGTTGTATTCTGGAACTTTTCTCTTTTGACACCTCCCCTTATTCTGATGTACTGCTCATTCCATGGCTACAAAATCTGTACAGTTTTTTGGTATCGTTCTATTGATACTAAACATAGCGATTACCATGCCTGAACAAATCTGGGGACCAACCCCCTGGACATCCACCCCTAGGTCAACCAGCGCCTAGGGCAACTACCCCCTAGGACAACCACCATCTAGGACCACTACCCCCAGGACAACTACTCCCGGACAACTACCCCGGACAACTACCCTTAGAACAACTAACCCCGGACAACTACCCCCAGACAACTAACCCCTAGGAAAACTACCCCCTAGGACAACTACCCCGGACAACTACCCCCTAAGACAACTAACCCCAGGAAAACTACCTCCATACAACTACCCCCTAGGACAGTTGTCCTACTAGAGGATGGTTGTCGTAGGGGTTAGTTGTCTGGGTTAGTTGTCTTAGGGTAGTTGTCCGGGGCCAGTTGTCCTAAGGGGTAGTTGTATGGGGGTAGTTGTCCGGGGGTAGTTTTCCTAGGGGTAGTTGTCCTAAAGGGTAGTTCTCTGGGGGTAGTTGTCCGGGGGTAGTATCGGGGGGGGGGGGGGTAGTCGTCCTAGAGAGTGGCTACCCTAGGAGGTAGTTGTCCTAGGTGGTGGTTGTCCTAGGGGGTAGTTGACTGGGGGTGGTTATCCGGGGTCGGATGTCCAGTGGCTAGGTGTCCTAGAACCAACAAGAGATATATAATTAATCAAACTGAGTTTCCAAACTTTGTGAGGGGTTTATATGCTGATGATCTTGTTATATATGTTTCTCATGAAGAGATTAACATTATTAAATCAAAACTCAAAGATGATTTTAATAAAAAATAAATGAATATATAAATAAATAAATTACAAATATATCTATAGATAAATATAATAAATAAATATAAATAAATAAATATTTTCTTACGACTGGATTCTTATTTTAAAAAACACGGTTTAAAAATTGGAATATATGAATTCTTGCTGACTGTAGAACCGAACGTTCATTCGAATGATATTTTCGAGGGTTGTAGGGTATTGTGAGCTTCACACTCAGCGTATAGGCCCTAAAGTTTTTGGGTGTTATTATCGATGATAAGTTCTCCTGGTCTAATCATATTGGTGTCATCTGCAACAAATTATCTAAAAGTATTG